GATGTGCTGGACGCTGCTCAGGTGCTCTTGCACCTTGCTGCTGTCTCCACCCCAGTCTGGATCACCCCAGGTCACAACTGCCCCGGATTCAAGAATGGCAGCAAAAGCACGAGCAGTTGCTTGGATGTGCTGGACGTTCCTCAGCTGCTCTTGGACCTGGCTGCTGTCTCCGCCATAGCCTGGATCACCCCAGGTCACAACAGCCCTAGATTCAAGAATGGCAGCAAAAGCACGAGCAGTTGCTTGGATGTGCTGGACGTTCCTCAGCTGCTCTTGCACCTGGCTGCTGTCTCCGCCATAGCCTGGATGACCCCAGGTCACAACAGCCCCAGATTCAAGAATGGCAGCAAAAGCACGAGCAGTTGCTTGGATGTGCTGGACGTTCCTCAGCTGCTCTTGCACCTGGCTGCTGTCTCCGCCATAGCCTGGATGACCCCAGGTCACAACAGCCCCAGATTCAAGAATGGCAGCAAAAGCACGAGCAGTTGCTTGGATGTGCTGGACGTTCCTCAGCTGCTCTTGCACCTGGCTGCTGTCTCCGCCATAGCCTGGATGACCCCAGGTCACAACAGCCCCAGATTCAAGAATGGCAGCAAAAGCACGAGCAGTTGCTTGGATGTGCTGGACGTTCCTCAGCTGCTCTTGCACCTGGCTGCTGTCTCCGCCATAGCCTGGATGACCCCAGGTCACAACAGCCCCAGATTCAACAATGGCAGCAAAAGCAGAGCCAGCTGCTTGGATCTGCTGGACGTTTCTCAGCTGCTCTTGCACCTTGCTGCTGTCTCCGCCGCATCGTGGATCACCCCAGGTCACGACGGCCCCAGATTCAAGAATGGCTGCCAAAGCACCGCCAGTAGTTGCTTGGATGTGCAGAACATTCCTGAGCTGCTCTTGCACTTGGCTGCTGTCTCCGCCAGCTCTTCGATCACCCCAGGTCACAACTGCCCCGGATTCAAGAATCGCAGCAAAAGCACCGCCGGCGGTTGCTTGGATGTGCTGGACGCTCCTCAGCTGCTCTTGCACCTGGCTGCTGTCTCCGCCCCAACCAAGCTTATGCCAGGTCACAACTTCCCCAGATTCAAGAACAGCAGCAAAAGCACCGCCGGCGGTTGCTTGGATGTGCTGGACATTCCTCAGGTGCTGCTGCACCTGGCTGCTGTCTCCGCCATAGTGCGCACGACCCCAGGTCACAACAGCCCCAGATTCAAGAATTGCAGCAAAAGCACCACTGGCAGTTGTTTGGATGTGTTGGACGTTCCTCAGCTGCTCTTGCACCTGGCTGCTGTCTCCGCCATATTGTACATTGCCCCAGGTCACAACCTCGCCCCCGCAGCCATGCCAAGCGAACGCCTTGTGGTTGGCAGCCAGCTTGCCAGGCTGCACAACCGCAGCCACCATGTCCCCATCTTGCAACCCTGCCTCGCTCAGCGTGGCCCTCACATCAAGCTGCCGGCCTTTCGCAATGAGCTTCAAGCGCCGATGGAAATGCTGCTGCGCTGCAGCTTTCAGCTCGCTGATGGGCATCGCCGCAGAGACTGTCATGGAGCAACCATCTCCACTGACCAAGTGAACATCCACCTTCATAGCGCAGGATGGTTCTTTGAGGTGCATTCAAGTTGCCAAACACGAACCTGACACACCAAAACATCTAACTGGGGATCCCCGTCTTGACGTTTGTTCAAGGGTTGGATCCTGTGATGTAGAAAGGCCTTTGAAAGTAAGGCAACAAACATGCGAAGAACACTGCTCACTGCTCCCTCCTCCACTCACCATTGCTTCGCCAAGAGTACAAAAGCTCATGCCAAGCCTGGCATGGGGATACGTCAGAACCAGAGACCCTTTTTGGATACTTCCATTTGCTTAAGCCCCCTGGAAACAATGAATATATTTCCAGCAGTGAAAGATTCCCTCTACACACCAACAGGGGGGGAAATTAGAAGAAGAAAAAATATTAAGCAAATGGATGGATATCCCTGCACAATTGGGCAGAAACTGGGGGGAAAATTGGTGGAAGTGTGTGTCAAGCGGTTTTGCGTGGTTCGTTTTTTTTGGGAGGAAGCCAGCCTCAATATCTCGTTTGCGACTGGATGAGTCCCCATTGGCTATGTCAGGCTCATGTTGTAGCTTGAGCAGGAGACACGAAAGGTAGCAGGCTCGCCGGGCAGTGGCTGATGCGGGGGCCAAGAGCGGACTGGACATGTAATGGTGGCACCGGAGGGTAAATGGCAGAACGATGTTTCAGATTGGATCTGTGCGGGCTTTTTTGACAAAACAGTCTTAAAGTGAAAGGGTTGGAGGGACGTAGCGCGCAAGCGACAGCGGCGCACGCGGCAGTATCTGGATGCCGCACGGGCAGAGCAAAATCAAGTTCGAACGAAGGACGGGTCGGCTCACGCGCGCCAAGGCAACAGTGGGTGCACGACAGCGACCAGGGAGGAGTCGAACCCCCGGACGGGACGGGGGATTGATTTTTCAGGGGCTGCGTTGGGCGACCACTCCCCAGACCCCCTTTCTTCCTAAGCCTTGCCAACGCAAGGAAAACTTAAGGCAGCCTCGTGACATGTCCCAGCAAACTTCGCAAATGCCCGTCTTCCAGTACTCGGTGGCTTCTTGGTCTCTGCGGAGAAGTGAAGTTGGTTTAAGGTGAGTTTGCAATTGACTTCGGCCGTGGTTGTGTTTTTAAGTGGGCTTAGGGTGGTTTAGGGTAGAATGTTGGAAAACCTGGTTTTTCTAGGGTACCAAGATGGTTTTTTTTGGGAAAGGGGTATTTTTTGGAAATCCTGGTTTAATACAACAGCCCCCTACCCAAGAAAAAATACCGCAACATGCACAGCACGCGAGAGAGTCGCCACACGCACGCTTCGTCCGCAGAGGCTTCATCCGGCAAAGCGATGTGCAGGGCGCCGCAGGGAGAGCGTCGCGACACGAGGCTTCATCCTGCGAATTCCTCAAGTTGTACCTCGACCCACCCAACCTGCGCAGAGGGTTCATCCTGTGACTCCAGCGATCCTCTGCGAGGGTGGATCCAGGAGGCAAGCCCGCGAGCGCGCGTGACAGAAGTATGCATCGTGATCTCGCAAGCGTGCGAAATGCTGCGCCCGCCTTGTGATTGATCTCCCTTTGTGGGCGTCTTGCGTCTTGATGTTCATGTTCGACTTTTCATACGGAAGTTGATACTAAGCTTCCTTTGATGAATGATTAAACTGGGTTGAAATGTATGCAGGGGCTGCCCAAAAGCACCGTGCAAGACTTGGCATGCCTTGCTCAGAAGTACGCTCCCGCAGTTTGACGTTGCACCTGGGCACAAGTCCCAATTAACTAAACACACCCACCGGTCAGGTGCCATATTTCATCATGTGGCGACGGGAATCCCAATATAGCACAACCGAAAGGAGTAGGGCAACATGGTTGCCGTCGATAATAAAGAAAAATGAGGGGTGTAAGGAGAATGTAAGAGGGCAGCCTAGCATGCTCACGCTAGCAACATATGTCACGATTAGATGGTCAACACTGCTAGCCATGCTAGTGCGGAGAGGGCATCGTTCTGGTCTGACGACCAAAGAAACCAAAAGGAAGCCACTTTTGGAGGGGGGGCTACTGTTGGACCCAAATTACAAGCTGTCCACATGGCCTTAACCCGGCCTCAAGCCGGCTTTCAAGAAGAAAAAATGTGAAGAGGGTGGAACAGAATCAAAACAGAAAGGGCAGTGGAAAGCGAAGCGAGCGGCCCCATGCAGCCGATGACATTTCCCTCCCCCCCCCCTTTACAAAAAAGGCAGGGGGAGAACAGAGTCTCCATTCATATTGCTGCAACAAGGCACAGGAAGCAGCATGAACAAACATGCCGCGGCAAGGCAGGAAACATCTAGCGTAAGCAAACAACACCAAAAGGAAGTAAATCAACCAAAGGGCACCAAGAAAAAACAAAGCAACTGAAAAACATGCTCAAACCACAAGAGGGAAACACAGAAAGAATAACAAGTAGAGACTGGGGGAAACAAAAAGCCCCAAAGCAAAAACACAAACAACAAACCACGAAAGATGAGCGCAAAACACACAAAAAAAAAAAAAAAAAAAAAAAAAAAAAAAGTACCTAACACGGCATTACATTACATTGCACGACAATACATTACATTATATTACATTAGCACAATACATTACAATACATTGCACTACATATGTACATTCATCACTTTACACAAGTGAATCCAGATATATCTATATATATACATATATATATATACACATGTATATATATATGTATACATACATATTCGTGCTTTGTATGTCTGTTTATGTATACATAAACATACTGTTCCTGAAACAGGTGGATAAAATACAGAGAAACATAGGCACCGGGGGTGGGTACCATGTTTTTGTATACACTTGGGTGAAGTATAATATTTCACCAACCTGAAACTGGCGGTGGTTGGGGGGCTATTCCCCACATAAACCACCATTTGGATTTGGTGAATTCGGTCGTTGAACAACTCACCCAGACACACAGCATAAATTCATACTGTTCCCGAAACAGGCGGAAGGAAAACCTCGGCGCCGCTCGGGGGTGGTTGGGGCCCACCCGAAAAGGGGGCGGTGGGCGCTTCCCGACCGGTTCCCGTCCGCTCGGTGGCTCTCGCTGGGGTCGGGGCCTTCTGGATCACCCGGCAGCCGCACTGATCCTGCGACAGCTTGGCCACGTGGCCCTGGAGCGCTTGGACCAGCGCCTGGATCGCTCCGAGCTCGGATACGGGCCGGCGAGCGGCGCGGTTCGGGTTCCGCGGGCCTTTTTTGGGGGGGGGAAGGAGGGGGGAGGGGGGAGGGGGTGAAAAACCCCAGAGACATTTGGATGGAGATTGCTTTTTGTGTGCTTTGTTTACTGCCGTGGGGATATGGATGGACTGGTTCTGTCTTGAGAAAGTCGACTTGAAACTGAAGCCCACGTCCAGCTGGAGCGAAGGTCAACATGGCGCTGGGGAAAAACCTCCCGTTTCAGCACGCATTGGCACAAGTCGCATGCAAAGATGGCCTTGGAGAGACTTGGATGTGCCGGGGGAAGGTTTGGGGACATTTTAAAGTGCCCAACACTAAACCCCAAACCAAAGGCCCCCAAAGCCACACCCCAGCAAACACCTTCTGAGGCAAAACTGATCGAAGGGTTCAGCGCGAACCTTTCTGGTGCAGTGGCCCCTAACTGTTTCAGAGCATGTGAGCGGACAAACTGAACGAGGTTTCCCCAAACAGACCATGGCAAAATTGGATGGTCCGTAGACCAGGCCTCAGCCCAGGCTCATTGAAAGCAGCGAATCAGCCACGTAGCCCCATGAAGCGTCCATTTGTTCAAGGAATCCTGGGTTTGACACATCCCTGCTTGAATCCAACCAGCGTCATGTCAGTCGCGTCTTGTGGTACGGTTTTGACACTATTCTTTACACCAGAATGTATATGGAAACCAGCCTTCCCTTGCATTGAGGGAGCTAAAAAGTACCTTTGCCCAAAGGCGGGCCACAGGCCACAGGCCTGGGGGCTGGCATGCAAAAAACTGGCGATTTCGCGCGGTCTGAAGTCCGACTCAGATGCCCAAATCCCCCGGCCGGCCTTCTTCTGCCTAGCGCGAATGGCCCACAACCCCCGCCCCAGGTGCCATCGACTCAAAGCTGCAAGTCTTGGTTCTGTTGCAGCTCCCACTGAATTCGGCCACAACTGATAGCCGCTTTCAGCTTTTGAAGTCTGTCGGAGGGTCCAAGGGGCCGTTCAAAAAAGTTCAAAAAAGCGGTCTCCAGAGATCCTTTGCGGGGAAAGGGAAATCAGTGGTACACGTGAACAAATGGGGCCTTTTAGGAAACGCCTTCCTTTAGGCTCCGTTCCGAGCCCCGAGCTCTGACTTGGTGCTCAGAGGGAATGTGGTTGAGTAACCCAGGCTTTGGTCCCCCGGAAAAAAAAAAAAAAAACAAAAAAAAAAAAACAGAAAAAAAAAACTCTTGGATGGTTCATTCCCTGCATCTCCAACCACGAAGATACAAGGATCCCCCGCCGCAAGCTCACTGAGAACTCGGAAGGGGTGAGCTCGTCTGGGCCCCAGATCGATTGGAAAACCCAAGAGTTGGGTGTTGACTTCCTCCAAACAAAAGATCTTCGTCATTTTGTTTGTTCAACCACAAAGCAACAATACACGGTCAAGGGCGTAAGAGGGTCTGTACCTTTGACATGGTCTGGGCGGCAACCCCCGGTTTCAACTCTGATTTGGGCTACGAGTGGCAAAGGAAACTAGCTGGGCCCCAATCCCCAGATCCGGCCTCCTCCCAAAATCGGTGCCTGAATCATAGGTCCCTTGTATACTCGCATGGCTCAAAAGAACCCACAAAAAAAAAGAAGGCATCCGCCTGCCTATCAACTTTCTCCTGTGTTGCTTTCAGGGCTCTGAACATGCTCACCGTTCGAATGGTGGCTGGCGCGAACCGCGAAACCAGAGGTCGCGAACACCAGCAAATATGATCCAGTAACCTCCAAATACCCACTTTGCCTTTTGCTAGTTGATTTTTTTGGCAACCTAACCGATCGGGTTTCCATGGTAAATACCGATCCTTTTTTAGTGGAGGGTCGACATCATGCCCTGAAAAAAGTGGGTATTGGGTGTAAGGGGTACACAAAATTGCGTGCGGTTGGTTCAACCAGGGGCTCTTTGAATCGATCCGGTACGGGAACCTAAAACCTTGCATGCCGCGCATGTAGTAGACAAGTGGAAGGAAACCGAAAGCCAAACGACTCGCACCCACCGGTGGTTTGGGGGTTGGCCTCGGAGCAACCCTCAAAACGCGTGACCTTCAAGTGTTTTTGCTCCTTTCATATGGCCATTGGTCCGTGGAGGATCGCCGCAGCCCCCGAACCCGAAAAATGAGTGCTTTTCTTTCCAAGATGAACCTGGAGAGAATTTCTGTATTACCAACGATGGCCTGGTCGCTCAGCGCTGTGAACGCGACAGTTCTATGGCTCGTGAAAGCCAAAACTGGACAAAGAACCCAACAGCCCCAGATTCAAGAATGGCAGCCTGCTGCGGGAGTTGCTTGGAACTGAAAATGCAAGTTGCTGTGATTTCCAAGTGACTGGGCTCTAGCCCGAGGGTTGCGGGGAAAAGTGAAGGTGGTCCAAAAGCAAGCCCATCCCTGCCAGCCCCCCTTCCAGATACCGCCCCCCGCCCGCTGTCGCCGATGTCAAAGATCTTTTGCACCTCAAATTCCGCTTCTTTTTGGAGCTGATCATGGTGGGTCAAAAACCCACGCAGAAAGAATTCGAAGGATGGAATCCACTGAAACCAGTCAAGTTTGGGGGGTCCCTTTTGTGCTTGATTGAATCCATGTTTTCAATGGGGCAAAAGCCCAACAACAAAAAAGATCTGAAGGGTGGCATCGGAGGTGCTTCTATATTTAGTGGGGGCACCACCAGTCGAAAAGGGATTCCAGCGGGTGGATTCTACTGGGAGTTGCGCAAGGGAAGCACCTAGGCCATATACATGTGTATATATATATATAGATGCATGTATATGATGTGGGTGTGTATATACATATATGTATATTTATTGGCATACATATACAATGGGTACTGTAGCTCTCCTTTTCAGACTTCTGAGTAAACGCCTGTTCCGTGCTTCCCGAAGTCAACTTCCAAGGTGTTGGTTCATCTCTAGACTCCTAGTCGAACCTCCAAAATTGCTGCCTTGAAAGATACGAAAACAACTCCAAGGAGCGACACGCGCGCAGGTCACCCCCTTGACCAGAGCTGCTGAATCACATGTTTTTTCTCAACGTGATCTTCCTTGGCGCTGTCGTTGCATTGATTTCGCTGGTGATTTCACTCCACAATGCGGAACTGAACTGTAGCTCACCAAAGCTGCCCTTCTTTCAGCCTGTGTAAGAGCAGTTTGACCGAAAGCTAGGGCTGTTTCAATATGGACGGCCTTGATCTGGAGCGCCACAAGTAGCTGTTGTCTCCGCCATAGCCTGGATCGCCCCAGGTCACAACAGCCCCAGATTCAAGAATGGCAGCAAAAGCATGTCTAGTTGCTTGGATGTGTTGGACGTTCCTCAGCTGCTCTTGCACCTGGCTGCTGTCTCCGCCATAGCTTGCATCACCCCAGGTCACAACAGCCCCACATTCAACAATAGCAGCAAAAGCATGTCTAGTTGCTTGGATGTGTTGGTCTGAGTGTTGTTATCGCCTGTTTCATTCTTCTTTATCGGTTTGCTGTGGCTTGCAGTGTTCCGCTTCACACGTTCCTCAGCTGCTCTTGCACCTGGCTGCTGTCTCCGCCATAGCCTGGATCACCCCAGGTCACAACAGCCCCGGATTCAAGAATAGCAGCAAAAACATGTCTAGTTGCTTGGATGTGTTGGACGTTCCTCAGCTGCTCTTGCACCTGGCTGCTGTCTCCGCCATAGCCTGGATCACCCCAGGTCACAACAGCCCCGGATTCAAGAATAGCAGCAAAAGCATGTCTAGTTGCTTTGATGTGTTGGACGTTCCTCAGCTGCTCTTGCACCTGGCTGCTGTCTCCGCCATAGCCTGGATCGCCCCAGGTCACAACAGCCGCGGATTCAAGAATAGCAGCAAACGCATGTCTAGTTGCTTGGATGTGTTGGACGTTCCTCAGCTGCTCTTGCACCTGGCTGCTGTCTCCGCCATAGCCTGGATCACCCCGGGTCACAACAGCCCCGGATTCAAGAATAGCAGCAAAAAGCATGTCTAGTTGCTTGAATGTGTTGGACGTTCCTCAGCTGCTCTTGCACCTGGCTGCTGTCTCCGCCATAGCCTGGATCACTCCATGCACCTGGCTGCTGTCTCCGCCATAGCCTGGATCACCCCAGGTCACAACAGCCCCGGATTCAAGAATAGCAGCAAAAACATGTCTAGTTGCTGGATGTGTTGGACGTTCCTCAGCTGCTCTTGCACCTGGCTGCTGTCTCCGCCATAGCCTGGATCACCCCAGGTCACAACCAAAGAGCAACTGTCTGTCTTTGCGTTGCAAGAGATGTTGGTTGCGGTTGGGGTTCATGTCCAGCTCCCAACCAAAGCACCCCCACAGTTACAGGTCCCCCCCCCTCTCCCCCCAAACCCCGGCATCTGACGTCCGTCACTCGCATCCGCCGAGCCCCGCGCCACGTGGTTGCCAAAGGTGTCCTTGGCCAAGTCCGGGGCCTCCGCTTGGATCGCCTGAACATCCGGCGCGGAAAGGACCCAAACAACTCGGTCCTTCGTCCGAGCAGTTTGGAAAACATGGCCAACCTCAAGAAACTCACTGGACTTTGCTTGGCCCTTTTTAAGTGAATGAAACCATCTGTCCAACAAAGACTTCGCTTTCGAAGATGTGTGGCTCTGAGTTTAACTTGTGGTGGGTGGGAAAACCAAAACGTCAACGGTCAAACTCCAACTCCAAAAGGCCAAGTGCCATGTACCTCGTCTCCGTTCGTTTACGATACAAACGGACGAGCTGTGAAGGAGCATTTTTCTTGCTGCAGCCATGGTAGTTCACAATAGTCAGGGGGAAACACGTGAACCTTTTGGTTGAGAAGTTGACTTGGAAGCAGCGTTCAAGAAGAGGTTGGCAGCACATTTGCTGCCACGTTTCAATCAGTGCTTGCCGGCAGACCCTTGTAACAGGTGCCACATTCCCTCACCACAGCCGATAGGTGGAATTTCGGAGGATCGCTGAATCAGAACATGCAGAATACAGGTCCAGCTTTGCTACTTGGTAAAGCCTGTGGGCTTGTGGGCCAAAAAAATGCAGATTGGGTGGACAGTGATCGAGATAAATGAAGGGCAAGGGCAAAATGTCTGTGTTTCCCCAAAAAGATATGGAAGAAGTGAGAATTACTGAGGGTTGCCCAAGAGCTCCTGACCACATATGTGACCTCCCCGCTGTTCTGATTCAGAATCATGAGGGGAGCCTGCCTGACCGCGATTGGTGGCCTAGTGACTAACAGTGACCACTGACCATATTTTGCTCTAC